AGAAACTAAGAATGAATGCATCTACATCATTGGAATAAATTTTAAACTATGTTACTAAAGTCTCAAAGCACTGGTCCAACTACGTACTCTGTAATTATTAACATGGTCATAATTTAACAGAACCTTTTCGATGCAAAATTAGTCAAAAACTAGCGAAAATAAGATAATGAACAGTTAAAGGAAATTCATGCTGAAACAGAATATGAAACTGTTATAACTGGTGGCCTGTGTGCCCTGTTAGTGTATAACGTAATGATACCGACAATTAGAGAACAGTGAATTATCGATTAAACCAATGACGCATAAAACCCGTACGAGCAGTCTAGAGTCTTTATTGGTCCTGCTTCTCGCTTAACCCTGCCTGTTAAGTTCGGAACACCAATCTCAGCCTCTGAGATGTGAATCATTTATTTCAAACATACTGGGTTTATATACAAACCAACAAACTACATCGTTCCATAAAACAGAAAATAACATTTGTAAAATATACCCATAGTATAAGTCCATAAATGGATCCCAAAAGTTACCATTCATTATGCTTATCAGGGAATAACAGAAACTAATTCCTATAATCATTTCTTTGTATATTCAAATAAAGATAAGAAAATTCTTATCGCTCATAGCTTGTGAATGAGTGAAAAACAGTTAGATCCCGATAAGCATAATGAATGGTAACGTTTTGGGATACAGGCACAAAAATGCATCGGTCCAAGTTGCCATATCGCATTAGCACAGCAAGATGAACACCGGATTCATAAAAGTAGTTAATTCAATGGGGGTAATATATAGAAGAAAGATTGCAATAAGGATATAGTACAGGAAGAAAGAATTAGAACGTAGAAAGAAAGACATGAATCGATTTTAATCTCTTAGTTTAAGGGAGGACAGAGAGTGTATACACCTACACCATTCTGATCGATTCTGAACCATGTCACCAAGAGTCTCCAGCCATTGGTTACGAAAGTCACGCGGACCCCAACCAAGTAGTCTGCATCTACCAACATGGCTCAGACTACAAGTTAGTGACTTCAGGCACTGATGCCACGTTTTGGTTTGGCCGCCCCTAACTTTCTTCCAACCATCCCCTACACCGGTTAGCATTGCACGTCGTGGTAATCGGTGTTCAGGCATACGTAATACGTGGCCCAACCATCTCAGTCGATGAAGATTCATAACCTCATCAACTGATTTACCATCATTCCCTAATACCCTGCGTCTAACCTCACTATTACTTACCCGGTGATCCCAGCAGATGCCAGCAATATTTCTAAGGCATCTGTGGTCAAATACTAGTAGCTTACGGGTGTCTTCTACTCTTAAGGGCCATGTTTCGCTGCCGTAAATTAAAACAGAACGAACTGCCGCGCAGTATACTCGTCCTTTTATTGATAGACGGATATCTCGCCTCCGCCAAAGGTGACGTAAGTTGGCAAAAGCCAAACGAGCTTTACGAATCCGTGCTGAGATTTCGTCAGACACCAACCCATTAGGGCTGATCAGACTTCCAAGATAAGTGAAGTTGTCAACTCGTTCGACTACTTCACTCCCTATCCTTAGTTCAGGTGTTGACGCAGACCAGTCCTGAAGCAACAACTTGCATTTAGAGGGAGAGAAGCGCATCCCAAACATTCTGGCATTGTTGCTTAGTGCTACCAGAAGACTCTGCATTTTGTCAGCGTCTTCACCAAACAGGACTATGTCATCTGCATATTCTAAGTCGATAAGTGGACCTCCTGGAAGGAGATCAATACCCGAGAATTCAGTCGACGAGAGTGTTATTTCCATCAATAGGTCTATGATGAAGTTAAACAAAAATAGAGAAAGTGGACAGCCTTGACGGACACCACTTGAGGTTGCAAAAGTAGATGACAGTTCGCCATAAGCTCTGACTCGACTAGTAGTGTTCGAGTAAAGAGCCTTCACAAGGTTTATGTACTTCTGAGGTACGCCTTTCAATGACAGACACTGCCACAGAATCTCGCGGTCTACAGAGTCAAATGCTGCTTTTAAGTCAAGAAAGACCACCATTGTCGGACGCCGATAAGTATGCCTATGTTCTAGAACCTGACGAATGGTGAATATGTGGTCGATGCAGCCACGACCAGGTCTAAAGCCAGCTTGGTTCTCTCGTGTTTGCAGTTCACGAGTCTTAGTTAGGCGTCTGATAATTATCGAGGCTAGTATTTTAGATACTATATTAGTTAAACTAATCCCTCTGTGGTTGTCACAGGATGATTTTGACCCTTTCTTATATATTGGGACGATAAGTGATTGTGACCAGTTAAATGGGATAACGTCTAACTTCCAGATTTTAGCTAAAATATTAGTCAACCTAATCGCTAAAGTTGGACCACCATCCTTAAAGACTTCTGGAGCCAATCCATTTGGACCAGCTGCCCTTCCTCGTTTCAGATTAACTATAGCTTTTTGGACTTCAGCTAGACTCGGGGGACCTACTTCAATGTTCCATTCACATTGTCTGGGAATGGAGGGTAGTTGTAGAGTAGCTGAAGGCCTTCGCCTTCGGACATTGGGTTTGTTGCTTTTAGTCTTACCGCTCTTCAACCGACCTATCTGACATGGTAAAACCTTGAGGAACGGTTGTTCCAGCCAGTATAGCTCGGTTACTTCATCACGATAGGCAAGCCCGACCACCATGTCAAGGTAGCAACAACGATCGGGACCATTTGGCCAAATCTTGTGCAAATGTTGTTTCCTATTTTGTTGGTACGATTTGGTCTGTCTGAATTGTATATAAACCCAGTATGTTTGAAATAAATTATTCATATCTCAGAGGCTGAGATTGGTGTTCTGTACTTAACTGGCTGGGCTAGGCGGAAAGCAGGATCAATAAGGACGCTAGACTGTTCATACGGGTTTACGCGTCATTGATCCGATCGATAATTCACTGCTCTCTAATTGGCGGTATCGTTACGTTATACATTAGCAGGGCACACAAGCCACAAGTTATAACAAAAACACAAAATGAGAAACCTATTCATAAGATCCTTATTATCATATATCATATAATACACTTTATATTTGTCATTAACAATTTAAATGCTATTGCTAACTTGATAATTTCCAAGTATGCTAGAAAAATATATTTCATCATCTTTATCAATAAGCCCTAATTTACTATGGTTAATTCAAATGTAGGCAAATATTTAGATAGAAAGTATTATTTATATTTTAGAAAATCGAACTACCGACACCTCGATTAAAATCAATAAGGTTAGAGAATTATTAGTAGAGTTCCAATGTATGTTTAAAAGATTAAAACAACATATTTTTCCATTATATAAGTCTGTCGAGATTCGTTCAATTTAAAAGTCGTTTGAAAAATAGCTCGAAATTATTAGAAGTTAGGGATTGATAGATAGATAGTTCGTCCTAGTGAGAGGCTCATCAACAGTGCTTACCCATGACCTTGTTTGATAGTACTAGATGATGGAGCGGCGAATCAATGATTAAGGTGTTCGACTTTCAATATAGAGTTTGAACCCAGCTCCATATAGTATAATCGAGTGACTAAAGTTGGTAAATATGTAGAAATCAATTACGACTCATTGGTCTAAATGGTAATGCGGACATACGGATAACTGAATCTCTTGAATTCGAGCTCTTATGAGTGGAAGGATCTATTATTGATAAATTTCAAACTGGGATAAAAGTTACTTAGCGACCTCCGGTTCTTATCCTACTGAAAATTTGTAGCAAAAACCAACTTAAGATTAAAGAATACGATTAAATATACGTGCATATCAAGGCTTTGTTTGCCAAAAAGTTTACCAAAACAAACACTAGGATTCTGGTAAAAGGCTACTCGTATAATGATTTTATAAACTGTGGTTTTTTCACCATAGAATGAATCTGTAGTGTTTCAAGAAATATTACAAATATAACAATTTGTTTAACAGTCTAATGTAATGTTGATAGATATTTCATGATAACTAACTTTCGGATGATTTGATAGTAAGATGTCGATAATATTAGGATACTTACATACCAGTGATCCATGACTGTGACATATAGAAAACGAATGTTTACCCTGGAGTTTCACTACAATACCTTTCATCAATACTATGAGAGGAATTTTTAATGGATAACTAAAACCAGAACTATGGTTTACAGGATTGAATAGACTATTGATAACAAATCGTCTTTAATATTATAATAATGATTCTCACGAGTGTGAACTGAAACCAAACAAATTAGAGTAGTGTTTTTTGGTCAACCACAACCTGAGAATTTAAAATGAAATATCGAATTCTTTTTTGCAAAATCACGTCAACTCAAAACATACGAAACATTAATATCAGTGTTTTCCAACTCCCCTAGGTAGACTCTTCATGTTTATCAACCCGGTTAAAGCGCCGGGCATTTGCTTTTCGTTTTTTCAATTTCGTAAACAACCCCGCGAGGAGTAGGCAATGAGTAGAACTTCTCTGGCAGCAGATACATACGTGTGTCCGTGTGAGAGGATTTCGAGAGAGAGAGAGAGAGAGAGAGATGACTCTCCACACCCAAATCAAGTGACTTGTGTGGCGCATATGTATTCAGTACCCCTTTGTACCAGTATTCATATGTCCAAACAAAAAAAATAAACCCTTGGCCGTCCAGGGCATTTAGGGAAAGAAATCTGAAGTGTTCCTTCTCCTCCTAATAGTATATAATTGCTAGAAAATAGAGGAATGAGTGAACTTTTGTTTACCGTTTTAAGACACTTATCGGCTTGTGTGGCACCACAAGATGGTATTCTTGCGATAAAATCTATGGATCGGTTATAGTGGATGGTAGAAGCATTTTATTTTCTAATGAAATTAACCGTTTGTACTGGCTGGGCTTTTTTGTTTTTTTTCATCGTAATGAAATATTATTGTGACAGCTCGAATCATTGCGCAATCACTAAATCAATGCAATGATGTAAACAAAAATCCATAGAAAGACCAGGACATATGAGAAATGGATCGGAACGAAGAAGACAAAAATGAACTTACCTCTTGTGGTACAGCTCCTTTGGGTTTGTCCAAATTTCTGTTACGGAACGGAGCAGCAGCATCACGTGGATGCATATGAGCATGAACAGGACTATTCTGACTTTTTATTTGTTGAGAATGTAAAGACGGTTGTATACTGGATAGTTGGCTGTCTAGTCCCAAATAAGAGGACTGTACTTGAGGATTGGTTGTAGATATGATAGTTGAAGGAAGTGGTAAAGATGAAACACCAGATGTTGAGTGAAATTTACTGGACAAGGAAATTTCAGAAAGTGATGGATCCGCAACAGAGTTCGAACTTGCACGTCCTAAAGATGGATGTTGAGAGCAAGCGAGTAGGGATGACAATTGTTTATCCTGAGAAGCAGCTAGCATAGCCGTTGAATATAGACTGGGAGGAGTACGATTTACGTTTTCAGAGCTTTCGTCTGTAGAAGTGGAAAGCATCGAATTGTTGTAAGCATTAGTAACACCTGAAGCTTTGCTAACTTCAGATGACATACTTCGGAGTGGAATAGGTGACGAAGAATTTGTTGAGTTGGAAACACATGACGGTTGACATGGCGCAAGTAATTCTTCTCGACTGTTGATCACAGAAGAATCTTCCTTTACATGAGAAGCGGAAAATGCAAGACTAGGTGCTGTAGACGTTGAATTTGCTCCTGAAACAGAGGAGAAAGGTGTTAATGAATTGCTATCGTCACTGGGGCCATTTTTTATCTGTGATTGTAACTGAGGATTTGTTGTAACTGTATTGGGACGGTCATTATGCTTTTGGGTGGTTTCGTTCTTCTGGTTTCGAGCAAGATCGTCAACAACGACCTGAGAATCTATAGTACTAGAGGATTTGACCGGGCCTATCTCGGCAACGATTGTCATACTGTTTGATGTTGAATGACTATTTGCGTTCAACTTTCCAGATTTGTTAGGAGTGCCAGCAACAACTTGGGACATAAGAGCAGGTGCAGTTTGGTTAATTGAAGCAGCGGGTTTTGTTTGCCCGATGAACCTGGTGTATTTGAAGATTTCATAGGTGTACTAGTAGAAGAAGCGGATACATGTGGTAACAAGGAGACTTTATCATCACTTTTAGCACGTTCTCGGGAAGAAGACGCATTGGATGACGCTGATGACCCAGGATGAGTGACAGACGAATCTGTATTATTTGATGCACTTGTATGAGTCGAAGTTGAAGAGCCAGCATCATCACTCCCTACCCGTTGATTTACCAAGGTAGTACCGGGGGTAATTACACCATTTAAATCATGCTCTTGATTTCCTGTTGCAGTGCCTGATGCTGCAGTTATTCCAGTAGAATCACCTAACTCATCCAAACATAAATCATCATAAATATTCTTAAAGTCAAACATAGACTGATTATCACCACAATCGATCACATATTCAATAGACTCTTGAATAGATCTAACCTTTGTACAATCTAGTCGTTCATTATCTAATAAACGCATAATAGTTTCAAGTTTTTCAACATGAAAACAGCACATTTCTAAACGTTGACGTTTTTCATCGATTGCTGAAGCTGTTTCTTTATCTATTCTTTTCTTTTTAGTATTATTTGATAAGCTTTCAATCTCAAACTCATATTTTTCTGTTTGTGTATTTAATGAACTAATACATTGTTTTAACCAATCATCTAATTCTTCTTTTTCTTTCTGTAATGGGTCTTTTTTCGCTTCAGTTGATAATAGACCTTCTTTGGAATAAGCTTTGGTTTTTGTCTCTTTTTCAATTACTTTAAATCGTTCCATATCCTGTTCGATTTCCTTACGTGCTTCTAATAATGGTCGCTTATCTTTCACTTCACTAGCTGTAATCCATGTTTTGATTTGATCTCTTAATCTTTGAAGTTTTTTAATTTCTTTTTTTAGATCGCCTTCAAATTTTTCTTTTTGAGTTGGATTGTTGGTACTTTCAAATTTATCCAGTATTTCCTAGATTTATCAGAAAAAAGGAAATAAATGAAAATATGCTACAACTCAGTGGGTAAAATTACCCACTTTGACAATTATACGACATTCGTATAGCCAATGTTGTATATATACCGACAAGACTACAATAAATCGGTGACAAACCAACAGATAAGCAAAAAGCGAACCGTGTGGATTGTCCACAGAAGTTAGTGGAACCTAAAAGAATAATCAAACTTCACTTTCAGAATTGTGTTAAAGAGACGGCATGCATGTGACGCTTTTATACAGTATTCAGAGACTTGGATATCAGAAGTGACTTAATCTTCATTTGAACACATGAATATTCAATAACTTGTAAGCTGTATACTGCATGCAGAGTTGAGTATACTACAGGGTGATCTTCCGAATATACAGTGCTATATACAAATCATGTAAAATACAAATAGTTTGAGACAAGAAAGTTGCAACTGGCGTGTTAAGTGAAATATCTCTCACATGTCTGTTGGCAGTCAAATATTCGAAAGCTCCTAGTGTATCTTATCCCTTGTAACAAAAGGAAACCAAACTTCTACCATAATTATTACATGAACAGTAAATGAGCTAAGAAAAACTTGCGGTCGTACAGAAACACTTTCTGAAAAAGCAGAAAATGTCGGCCGGATATTTATGCACATTTTAACACAAAAGAATTCCGTTACTAATGAATATTGTTTGCATTTGGATATATAGAATAAGAGCTATTTGACAGTCAGGCTGCTTTAAGCTCAGTGCAGAATATGCAGAATGGCGACTCAGTAGTTGAGGCAAATATGTAATGGAATGTAAGTTCAAAATCTCTGAGTTATTCATGAGTTTTTGTGGACGTGTATTGGTGTTGCGTATCATTCTTAAAACATAAACGTAAAAAACTGGAAACTTTTCAATACACAATCACCGTCACTGTAAACTATGCCTTTCACTTAAATGAGGCCTTACTAATAGCTAGGTAATAAATTATCTAGACTAGCTAAAAACGTATTAAGGTTTAACTTTAGTGACGTTATTTATTTTTGCAAAACGAAGTCTATCAAAGTCGATGAATATATATAAACGGCAAACCAAAACTTTTGATTTTCTAACTTTTGTATGAACAGATGTCAAAATAAGTTCCATATGATAGCTATCACTACAATAAATGAAAGAACGCGTCATTGTAATGTTTGTAATAACCACTCTAGTGATTTATAATAGTTACTCTAGATCTACGTTTCCTACAAAGACAAAAGTATACTTAAATAGCTCTGTAATATATATGTGTTGTTTCTATTGCAACATACACAGTACATATGTATACAAATACAGTTTTTAGATGGTAGATATATCATTTTCACTAACTATAAATTGTATATAGCTAATATCTTACTAAATAACTAGTCCCATTACATAAATTTAGACTATACCTGGAAGGCAGTTCTTCCCTCCTGTACTCTCTTGAGGTTTCTTTCAATGTCACTTTGCAGTTTCCTTTTGTCGGCCATCCTTCCACAGCGTACAAAGCAACCGCTTCATCGAATAAAGGCAGATAAAGGTAATCGCTCAGGGATCAATGTTATGCTATCAAGCCTGAATTAAGTATTTTACTTTTTGTGATTCTTTACTCGCATTATTTTTGATACTTCTATCGATTTCGAGTTCAAAAATCTATGGAAGATATTACTTGGTCATCAAACAGTTCAAATGGTTGTGGACAGAATAGAAGAAGCTTTCGCATAACTGGCTTCCGTGTCTAGTAGCAGTGGATCACCAATACGTTCAGATATGAACCTAGATATATTAACGATAATAGAGGAAAAAGAAATAAGTAAATCATAGTACGATATTATCCTTATTTCTTAGGAACATGTCACGTTTCCTATCAAAGGACTCCTGGGAAGTCGCTTGGACTGCAGCGATGTCCAGCTTTAACAACTTCTAAGAAGTACAAATTGAGCCCACAGTCCTCTCTGCCGTGTTGTGTCTCCATTTCCTGGGTGTTACTCCTTAGTTTTGTGTCGGAGCTAAACTAAAGTAAGTGTTTAAGTTGTCCAGAAGTGTTAAAGATGATATAAGCCATTAAAAGGTCACCTCTAGGACTCCTGTACCCTAATAAAAAGGTTTCTTGATTAGAGGCGCTCTTCATTAGGCTTGAATTTGAGCCCCCGAACTGATGTTGTGGCTCACCGTTGGATACGCTCCAGAGTGTCCTCAAATTTTTGGAGTGAGGGAAAAAATACTGCTTCCGTACTCCAACTGGGGACCGATTAAACTTTTGAAGATTATGTCGCTCCCAGTAATATATATTCTACCATCTGCCATTCGAGGGATAAGACGAACGTTTAATGATTTCCACAATTTATGTTCTAGTAGCCTTCAGCATGCTTCCTTGATTTCCTCTCTAGCTGAAAATGAGTTGTTTCTTGTCAAAACAGGTTAGTACTGATTGTGTTCATTTTACGAATATTAAATATCTTGCTTAGACAATTGTTTATAAATACCTGTACCATTTTGATGATGGTTGTGATAGTTCTCCAAGTTTCAGCTCCTCACAGTAGGACTGCGTTGGCCTTCATACTGAAGATTGTGACTTTGATGTTGGTTGACACATGTTTTGATTTCCATATGTTCTTCGAGTGTAGGAATGCTGCTCTCGTTTCTCGACCCTCTCCTTGACACCTGCAATGGATCCTTCTTATCTATCAATGATGTCATCCAGGTACGTGAAAGTTTTTACCTGTTTTAGAGCTTCTCCATCAGGTGTGATTTCATGGGTATTTTCTGTGTTGTACTTCAGAATATTAGTTTTTAGCTTGTGAATGTTGAGACTAACAGCTGCAGAGGATGTTGCTGCACTTGCTGTCTTCACCTTAATTTGCTGCTGTGTATGAGATATAAAAAAACAGATTATCTGCAAACTTCACACCACCTAGCGGCATCCAGGCTGTTCTATGTATTCGTTGCTTCCCCATTCATTTTCCTTTCTCTCAGTCCGTGTGGCACTACGATATCTTCGTACTCAATGTTTTCCATTCCAACTTTGGCGTTTACTTCTCTACATAACATGGTCAGATCTTTTACTAGTCACTTTTCTATTACCAACTGCAGCTACTCATAGGATTGATCTTTATTGCATTCATAGCTATCGTTGGTGGTTGCTTAGCACTGAATATCATTCATTCTGATCGGCTCCTTCTTTCTTTATAAGGATGACTCCGAATCCATGAGATCCCCATTTCATAAATGCTCTTCGTGCTTCTTTGTAAAGCATCGGATCAGCTCCCTGTATGTACCAAATCATTTTCTGCTTCATGACTAGAGTAAAATAACACATCTCCTGCAGCTAATCATTTCATTTTCAGCTTGTATTCAACGGTCTCATCTATTATGAACACCACCAAGTTGTGTTTTCTAATTTTCGCAGTTACGTGAGTGGTCCTCCCGTTCCCACACGCTAGGCTGACATTCCATGAAGTTATATTAATTGTCGCCCTTTTTGTTAGAAGAGTGCATAGGCCTCATAACTCCGGGAAGAATCTCAACCTTCATCATTTGGTGTCATTGCATCTCTGTAATTATATACTTCGAATTCCAGGACAGATCCTAGCAATTTCATCTGGTCAAGACATTTTAGGCAAGGTTTTCTTTCGTGCGATGGAGTTGTTATACCCATACCCAACTCTTCTATTTTACCTGTGTTTTCGACCGGCAATTTCTCTAGGAGACCTGTAGGAGGTATTAATTTTTTATCCATAAGTTGCAGTGGCTTCATTTTACAAGATTAATGAACCCAATTTAGTCACGCATTGTCATTATCACATATTATATGTATACAAGTGTCAGTACAGCATAAACCCTCTCCCGTATACAAGAAAGTATTTTAAATTACATTATCCAGCAGTAGAAATAATGCAAATTAATCCTGTTTAGCGACCAATCCATATGTTACAGACTGATGATAGACCGATATTAACCTGAAGATGGTTTAGTCTTATGCATATATATCTCCATTTCTCGATGACCTTATTGCGAAAGAAACTAAATTGACGAACGGTTTTACTTGTTCATTAGTACAACTGTAAGATCCATTTTGAATGTTTTGTGTGTTTGTGAAAATCCCTCCATGTATATACTTGCCCTTCGTTCCTATTGATCCCCTTAGTTGTACATTGTTGTCTTTTGATTACATTTGACGAAGGATCCACGAATTCTCCTGGAAGTCGAAGTGTCGTTCCATAAACGAGTTGAGCCGCATTGTATCCAATGTCAGCTTTCACTGCATTGCAAATTCCAATTAAGACACGTGGAGGAGCGTCGGTTCAGTGTGAAACGTTTACAGCTGATAGTGAAGCTTTTAGTTGTCAGTGAAAAAGTTCTACCAAGCAGTTTGCTTGTGGGTGGCAGGCAGTCGTTCGGAAGTGAGTGATTCCTAAAAGTGTGGTCAGACCACGGAAAAGTTCAGATTCGAAATGACGTCCGCGGTCTGTAGTGATAGTTGAAGGGCAGCCGAAGTTTGTTACCTACCGTTCGACTAAGGCACGGGTCACTGTTTCAGCAGTGATGTCCTTGATGGGTACTGCTTTTGGCCATCGAGTGAAACGGTCAACGCAGGTTAAGAGATGTGAGTATCCACTTGAATCTGGTAAGCCAAAGCCAAAGCCTGATGAACATGGTCGAAATGAGCGTCCGGAGTTTTGAAAGAGCTCAAGGGACATTTGTTATGTATGATAACCACAGATTTTTGGCAGCTTACACAGGAGCGTGCCTACTCCCTCACGTCTTCATCCATACCAGGCAAGCAAAACCGTTCTGCTACAAGCATGGTGGTTGCACGAACACCTGGAAGAGAAAGTTTGTGCAACGTATCGAAGAAGTCGCGTCGATAACGTTTCGGCACGATTGGACGACCCCTACATGTAGATGTGCCACAAAGTAAGGTTTCCTTACCTGTTACCACCTGTTTGATGCGTAGCTTGAGTGTTGTAGACGATAACTCGTGACGAAGATCAGTGTCTTCTTTTTGGAGCTGAGCGAGTATAGGAAGGTCGATTCCTTGGAAACTGTTGAAGGAAGTTACTCGAGACATGGCGTCTACGACTACATTGTTTGCTCCAGAAATGTGTTGGATGTCTGAAGTAAACTGCGAAATGTAGCTTAAAGAGAAGGTAATCGGTTTATGGTCAGTGAAATGGGTAAATTCACGGCCTTCGATATAGTGTTGAAAATGCCGCACGGCACAATACATATCGAAGAGTTCCCTACCGAAAGTGCTGCACCTCGATTCAGCGTCTAGAAACCGTCTAGAGGAAAACGCTAAAGGATGCCAGGAGTGGTCAATCCATTGTTGTAAAACCCTTCCAATTGCTGAATCGGATGCGTCTACTGCGATACTAATGAGTGCTTCGGTGTCTTGATGTGCGAGCGTTGTTGCTTTTGCGATAAGTTCCTTAATCGTGGAGATCGCTTTTCTCGCGGTATCGTTCAGCTTGATGGATTTCGCATTTTCACGAAGTTGATCGGTAAGAGGTTTCATGAGTAACGCTCATTTCGGTATGAACCGTCTATAGAAACTTACAAGATCGTTAAACGTGCGTAATTCCTTGATCGTGGTCGGTTCTGGGTAATTCAGAATGGCCGCCACTTTGGTTCTAAGGAGTCGAATGCCTTGCGCATCTATAGTGCGTCCTAGGGAGTCTAAAGAGTCAGCTCCGACTTGGCATTTCTGAGTGTTTACAGTAATGCCATGCTTATGTAGTCAGTCGAAAACAAGATCTGGATGCTTGAGATGTGATTCTCTGTCCGGACTTGCTGTTTTTGCATTCAATCGCCAATAGTCATCAGTTGGATGCCAATCGTTGCTATCCCTTTTAGGGACCATGTGCAAGGGGGATGCCCATGCTATTTGAAGGTCAAATCATTCCTAAGTCTATCATGTGGTCGAACTCGTTTTTCGCCAAACTTGGCTTTTCGGGGGCCAGTTAGTGTGCCTTCGAGAATACGGGTGGTCCTGTAGTCGAGATGTGATGTGTAACGTTGCTGGTTATACACGGCAACTCCGACGCGACTGATATTTTCCAGAATACTTATCGAGCAGTGGTTGATGGAAATGGTCTATCGTTTGCTTAATTGTGACTGGAGATAATCTGCAACCAGAAAAGGAAGTTACGCAAACGGATAAATTAGTGTTTCCGTCTACTAGCCTCCATTTACGCGTATTGATGATTGGATTATGGTGTTGTAGGTCTATACCAATGACTGGCATCGAAACATCTGCAACAACGAAGATCCAGTGTATGGGTTTGCGTAAACGCACGTTAAGATAAATGTACCTTTTGCCATGTGTAGCGATGGGCTTTCTGTCTGCCGCCTGTAAGTTTAAAACCGATTCGCGAAGCCAGTCATTAGGATTCGCTGGAAGAACGCTAACTTCCGCGTCAGTACCGATAAGATAGCGAACTTTCGTCATCACATCTGTGACGTATTACAGACGGCTATGTTCGCCGTCTACGGTTGCCGTTAACGCGTGCCGGCTTGGAAGTTTCCCGAGTTGTTTTTCGAGTCGCTCGGTTTCGTGTTGGGAAAATTGCAGGGTTTTCTGCAATTTCTGGATTATCCGTCTCTCGTGATCTAGAGGCAGATCGCTTACGTGAAATGCTTCTACGTGGAGTGCGCGAGCGACTACGGTCGGTACGAAGATTAAGGTAACGCGTAAGTGCATGACATAAATCTGTTGTGTCATTCTGGGTCGTTTGAGGCTTTTCTTTGACTGAAAAAACATCGGCATTAGAAGATTTCGTGATTTCTAAGAAGCAGTCGGTAGATGCACCCACCTCGTCTAAGGCGTTGTTTTGAAACGAGACCAGCACAACTTGCACCTGTTGAGGAAGTTTGGATAAGAAAAGTTGCCCGAAAAAGCCATCATCGAAAGTTCTTTGACCGGTAACCTCTCTCATTCTTTGCATTATGTGTGTTACAGAACCGTGTTGCAGGTCGATGTTATTGAGGAGTTGGTCTAACCGTGGTCTATCGGTTAAGTCTCCGCGTTTAGGGATAGATCGCCTAAGTGTTTCGTAGGGTTCAGAAAAATCACTAGTAAATATACCAGGCGTTACGAACCTGTTGAATTTGCGCCGTAGTAACTTGACTACTGCGAGGAATTGTGCAAGTGTGTCGGTCAAACCGTGCTCGGTAAAGTCGGCTTCTGCGTAGCAAAACCAGGCTTCGATGTTGTCTGGCCAGAAGACCATCAGTTGGAACGATGGTGGAGATATAGTTTTAAGCTTAAGTACTTTGGGTATCTGTTCAGTCATGATGAAATATGAAGTACGAGAATGAACAAGGAAAAATATATATATCCAAAAACACGAAAAAACTATCACAATGCATAAAAAATTAAGATAAGGCATTGATATAAAGAATCCTAAAAAGGAACAGAGTCACAGTTTGCAATTTGGTGTATCAGATCACGTCAGGCTCACCAATGAAGATGCCACATGTTTGTCAACTCTTTAACCAGTAACACCTAATATGAATCGTACCCACCAAGTGAAATCAAAATGCAGAAGCGAGGAGGTTCGAAGTTATATTTGATAGGCTATCAATATATCGAGAATCGTCTGATCTGATCTGGCTAGCGATTGCAGGGGTTGTTGAGCACGGCGTTCCCACTCGTGATCTGGTGCGGACGCATGACTGAGCTCCTTCAGCTAGGTGGTCAGCATCCAATGTCGAAAACTTACACAGCTATTTATCTTGAGGATTTATTTACCGCCACAATGCCTCACATAATAATCCAAAAGACATTTCCAAACATTTAAATGTTGACCGGCCGACATCAACTTTACTGACGACAGTTTCATCTGCAATTCCACAGGACTTTCCGAAGTGGACCTAAGCGCTGACTTGGTGTTCCGGGAATTGCAGCACCTAAGACTAGATACTCCTCCTGACCCGGATATGCTTTATTCTGCCATACTGAGGGAAGCAGCCTCAATCCTAGCAACGCCGCTTAGCGTGATGTTTTCACACTCGCTAAGCCGAGGCAAATTACCGGAAAATTGGATGTTGGCTCACATCACACCAATTTTCAAAGGAGGTCGACGCAATGAACCTTCAAGTTATCGGCCGGTGGCTCTTCTGTCATTACCTTCGAAACTCATGGAGTCCCTGATATGCGACGGTTTAAACGACTATCTACTGTCCTTAAATTTCTTCCCACCCCAACAGCATGGTTTCAGGAAGGGTTAATCTTGTACAACCAACCTGCTGACTGCGGTGGACAGATGGACAAGCATCCTCGATCGCAAGGGAAAGGTTGATATCATTTACCTTGATTTCTCAAAAGCTTTTGATAAGGTTAACCACTTGTGTCTTATCAATAGGCTCAAATGACTAGGTATCAAACCACCTCTAATCGATTGGCTTACTTCATACCTAAAAAATCGACACTTTAAGGTTAGGGTTAATTTCACTTTATCTCAGGCTATGGAATGTCCTAGTGGGGTCCCCCAGGGCTCAGTACTAGGGCCTCTTCTCTTCTTGATCTACATAAATGATCTTCCTCAACAGGTAACGTCAGAATTATTACTCTTTGCTGATGATGTTAAACTTTGGAGAGAGATACGTAATCAAGGCACTTCAGGAGGATCTGACTCGACTTCAAAGTTGGGCAGATAATAACGGACTTACTTTTAACACTTCAAAATGTAAAGTAGTCCGTCTGCGACATGCCGCAGACTACGGTTATAACTTAGGAAACTCTTGTCTAGTACTATCCCAAGTCGAAAAAGATTTAGGAGTCCTGCTGCTAACTGTGACAAAAATGCCTTCCGAGCAAACCGTCACTGATAACGTTGAAGCGCATTTTTGGCCAGTTTGACGGAAGAACTTTCCATACAATCTTCAACAGTTTCATTCGTTCCCATTTAGAGTACAGAAACATAGTACTTCCCCTTCACTCCAAAAGGATAAGGACACTTTGGAGCGTACCAACGGCGAGCCACGAAATCAGTTCGAGGACTCAAGTTTAAACCTTGCGAAGAGCGCCTCCATTCACTAGACTTTTACCCATTAGAGTATAGGCGTCTTAGAGGTGATCCTTTAATGGCTTACAGTATCCCTAATACTTCTGGACATCCTCTCAAACACCTATTTAAGCTTAGTTCGAACACTAACCTAAGGGGTAACACCCAGAAACTGGAGACACAACATAGCAAAACGGATTGTAGACATAACTTCTACTCCTTAAGAGTTGTCAAATGCTAGAATTCGCTGCCAGCCGAGTTAGTCCAAGCAACTTCCCAGGAGTCCTTCAAGAGGCAACTTGACCTATTCTTAAGGACCAAGGACAGCATAATACTATGATTTATCAATTTCTTTTCCTCTTTTATTGTTAACATACCTAGGTTCCTGCCTGGAGGATTTGGTGATCCCCTGCTACTAGACACGGAAGCCTGTTAAGCGAAAGCTTCTTCTATTCCGTCCACAACCATTTGAACCATTTGACCTAGGGGATACCCATCCCGCCTCAGATTGCTGAAGCGGGTCATTTGGTCTGTGTTCATGCATGTTACTTTCGCTTGTGTTGGTTTTTCTCCTCATAGCTATTTCGAATGGTTTGACTAAATTCATTAGTTTTAACTTTATTGAATATGTTTCAGGAGAAAATGATTATTTACATCTTCGGGTGATAAATCCATCTACTCTGCCGTTCACATATCGCTTAAGTCCTGGTCAAATAGGACCCCATTTTGTACGTAAATATCTTTCTTATTGACTTCTACTTATTTAAGAATACAACATTTACGTCTACCTCATTAGTGCTAACAGAACCTCCTCACGCATGTGAGCTGGTAAGTAATGCACATGAAGTTAATCGAAATATTGCTCTCATAATTCGTGGGTAGGTAATTATCAGTATCATTTTAGTGTAAATAGAGGTTGTAGTTTCGTCACGAAAGCTATTAATGCTCACGTTGCCGGTGCAGTTGCTGTGATTGTTTATGATTTTAACCGCAAGGCTATCCACACATTTAGCATGATTCAGGACGATACTTCCAGACGTGTGCAGATACCATGTGCGTTTATGAATGGAAAGGATGGGTATGTTATTTGTATACTTTTTAAATTTTAAACTGCTTTGGTGGACACAAGTAATTTCTATAGCCTTTGTTAGCCGCTTATCTTGTTTGACAGATGATTGAATGGAAATTACTACAACGATGTGGTTCGAAAATCAGTTTACTTAAAAGTCACTTTGGCGAATATAAACGGGAGAATTTCAAATAAATGTAGTTGAAACATCAAATCATTCAAAAACTTTGATTTTGTAGTAGTCCAGTACGGTTTCATGTTACTTGCGCTAACCCTAAAGATGAAATTTATGTAAACACTCATGTAGACAACTAACGGATGTTATGACTGATTTCATTTTCCTTTCATGAAATTTATGCAGAGCAACGGCACCTGTTTTTGTGCATTTGAAATTTAAGGATAGCGTCTAGGAACTATTTGAATAAACTACAGCTGATGAGTGAAAGTGCAATAATCGTCATCGGACAGTAAGTCTATTTCATTCGCGTACTCGATATCAAAAACTTTCTCCAGTGAAAGGATCCAGACCACCACTTCTTACATCAGAGCTGTTTTCAGAATGTTATAGATGAAAATTTTGGAAACGAATGGTGCAATTAAGTAACTCAAAATCCACTACTGATCTGGATCAGTTGAGAGGCGAATGCATGAGGTCACTACGTAAGATAGTTTGCACAATGTATCCAAAACATTAACAAAACCAGTAACCACACCCTTCTTAAAGAGATAATCATAAAGAACAGTCCTGTCCAATAGATAGAAGGCAACACCTATCAGCAAACACAACGACCGTTGGGCTATAAAAATTGTTAGTTTTCTTGGGACAAAAGTTATCTTGTGATAACTACATAGGAATCAGTTTAACTAACAGTATCCAGTGCTTAACAAGAACTCACAAAGATCAAACTAGAGGGATCCATGCCTGTTTCAGATATAGCTATGGATGTGTAGACTAAACATTCGCACCTCCTCAGGTTCTATAACGCAGGCATACTTACCGACTCCCAACCATAGTTAAATTTCTCGACCCCTAGGCGACATTTGATCCTGTAAATCGACAAGTTCTAAGGCAGTCTCTGTCATTGAAAGACGTACCAAAAAAGCACATTAACATAGTAGATGCTCCATTCGAACACTTCTGGTCGAGTCTGAGCTTATGTCGAAATGTTATCAGAAATTATAACTTTAAATAGTGTTTGTCTGGAATGCACACTTCCCGCGTTTTCGTTTGACTTTGTGGTCGACATGCTTTTCAAAATGACACTTCCATCGCCTGACATTTTAGCTGCTGGTCTACCAGGATATTTACTTATTGACTCAGATGATATAGTTATGTTTGGTGAAGACACTGACACAATGTAGTCTTCTGACATCGTCAAACAACGAAGCCAGGATGTTTTGGATGCTCTTCTCTCCTTCCGAATTCAAAATCTTGCGTTGGAATTGATTTTCTTCGTCATCTGAATCAATGATAGGAAGTCAAGTAATTGAATGTACCGACCGTTTCAATTATCTTGGGAGCCTCATCAGTCCCAGTGTGGCGGTATCTGACAAAATTTAGTAGTAATAAGCTCAACAGGAAACAAATTTTAGTCGGATACATATAAGTATTAATTTGTTTTGGTGATTTTGGAAATAATTAACTAGATTTACATTTAATTTTTCTCTTTAATTTTAAAGGCATTCAATAACCACTGCTTTGGATAATTTAAATCTAACAAAAGCATTAGTTGATTTTCCTGTTAATGTTTCTGTGGTTCCAGTATATCACTTGCGTTTATCTCCATGGACATTATGGTGAAGAATAAAATATACATCCAACCTTATTTGCTTCTACAAATCAATGACTACATGACTGTAATTTCTGCACTATGACTACATTGTAAGATACCACTTCTTGGATATGACAATATGTTTTCATATGACCTACAATTATTTCATTTAAAAATGAGATTTCCTTTGGTCATATAATTCACTAACATTATATCCTACGTTTGTCTTTTCTTCAACGTTGTAGTCTCCGTTTTCTCATGTAAATAGTTGTTCTTTTTGTTAAACCTGCCTACTATCTTCTCCCAACTGAGTAATTATAGTTTTATTAATACGTGAATGGTTTTTAATATAGTTGGAATGTTGTGGAATCTAGGTCATGCGTCTTATCCTACCTAGGACTCATCCCATCTCAGTATTAATGTTCACATTGTAACCACTAGGTTATGTTGATGCAAACCGCTCACGATTTACGTATTTCAATAACTACTCAGTTTTAGTTCTGAATATTAACAACGGGGAACTACAAACCCTTAACAATATAGTATACTTGTAACAGTGCATGTTAACTCACGTTCGGGAACGTGTGGTCGGGTAATGAAAACAGTCTAATCGGTGTCACCATCTTGAAACAACGGGTTCGGTGACGTGGATAAATGCTATGAGTGTCATTCCAGTGTTTTATTTACCGAAGCTGGAACTGGTTGAAAAAAGATAGGTGGTAAGTTTAAGACCTTGTCCCGGGGTATGACATCTATCTGTTTACCGTGATTCCCTGGTTGTGGTCCAAGAGATAGTGCAGCTTGGTGGCTTGAGAAATTATCGGTCGTAGGTCTGAGTCGAAGCCAGTTGCGATCTTGTTACGATTTTTGCGTACTTTCTATAAAAGTGAGAACTTTTACTAAAAGGGTTCTTTCTGTCTATATTTTTCTTAACCTTTGAATTAACTGATCAACAATTTACTTTTATCTAATCTACTAAGGTAGCACTATTTTTCCTAGTGAAGGTTACTCATCACTATCCATTTGATTTTCTTGCGAAAATTTGAAACGCGTTATAATTGTAACATATGATGAATACGAAATTGGTTGCAGTGGTGTGGATAATGTCATTCTCAATTCATCCACTGCCTTCTTGCAGCATTACTGTTGTTTACGAAATTGAGAGGGCGAAAAGCCAATGTCCGGCGCTGTAACCGGTTGGTGGATATGGAGGATCCACCTGGAGGAGTTGAAAAACCCTGATTCCAAACCAATAGTGCATATAGGCTCCAGGATCCTGAGGGAACAGATAATGCATGGACCAATTATTAGTCACCGGCTACTATGGGACTGCATCTTCTGAGGTTTCTCCACCACCTTGTAGATCAGACCTTTAGGTCGAAGGCCCCCTAAGAAAAGCACTTGCATTGGTTTGGGCACTCGGGCAATATCAGAGCTCACATACAAACCAAGTGACTTGTGGCGAATATGTATTCGGTGCCGCTTTGTACCAATATTTAAGTGTTCAAATAAATAACTATTCGTCTTCTTCGTTTACTCCTCTGCGGATACGATAGTAATGGGACATAAATCCACTTAATACGACCAATCTCTTTGCAGTTGTGACAAATGACATTAAGGAATGATTATTGTATACGTAGACAGACGTGCCTCACCATATTAGCTCCAGTTAGTCAGTTATAGTAACTCGACTATTCCTAAATTGTTGCTGTCTAATTACCACTGGGTATTTGGAGTTATGCTATTTACTTTTTTTACATGAAATACTACTAGGTTAGACGCAGGGTATTAGGGAAGGATGAAAATTCAGTTGATGAGGTTGTAAATCTTCATCGACTGAGATGGTTGGGCCACGTGTTACGTATGCCTAACACCGATTACCACGACGCACAATGCTGACTAGTGTTGGGGATAGTTGGAGAAAAGTTAGGGGCGGCCATACCAAAACGCGGTACCAGTGCTTGAAGTCGCTTGCTTCTAGTCTGAGCCATGCTGATAGATGTAGAGTACTTGGTTGGGTCCGCGCAAATATCGTAATCAATGGTTGGAGACTTTGTGTGACATGGCTCAGAATCGATCACAATGGCGTAAGTGTGTACACTGTCTATCTTCCTTTAAAATATGAGATTCAAATTATTTCATATCATTCTTTCAGTCAGTAACAACGTATAACTTCGTACGTACGTACATCAGTTCGAGCTGCCATACCACAGCACAGAGATGCAGTTGTCGATTCAAATCCCGTAGTGGTGGAGGTAGTAAGAGTATAAGCAGTAATCGGAAAGATTAGGGTTTGGAGATGTTACTTAAAGAGTATAATCCAGTGAAATAAATTTGGGGAGAGGAAAAAGAGACAAGGAGGAATCAGGAGATCAAAATTTGGGAGAGCACAAAGAGTGTATGCACCTGCACCATTGCAAACGATTTTGAGCCATGTCATTCAGGGTCTCTAACCATCGGTTGCTATCATCTCGCGGTCCCCAACCAGGTAGTCTACACCTACCAACATGACTCAGTTCACTTGTCAGTGACTTCATGGACTTGTGCCATGTTTTGGTCTGGCCGCCCCTAGCTTTCTTCCAACCTACTCCTATACCACTGAAGATCGCACGTCGAGTTAGTCGGTCGTTGGGCATACGTTCTGTAATATATCCTTACATAATAACTTTACTTTATATATTACATCATTAAGTTAACTGCTTCTATGAATCCAGTGTTCGTCTTGCTGTGCTAATGAGGTGTAGCAACTTGAACTGATGCATGTATGTGCCTGGTCCTACGTTGTAACTGACTGACTGACTTTTCTCACTATGGCTAAAATACGGCTATCAAACTATCTGCAAGCATATCTGGTGCTTAAAATTGAACTCTGCTTTTAATATCAATTTGACTTGAAGTTCTTGATAAATAACTCATGTAACTGAATTTGTAATTTATTACCGTCGTCTTATTTAATGTCTCAATAATCTTCTATTTTAATCATAGACCACTATAGGTAGGAAATAACCATAAATCCAATTGTACAGTTGTAGTACATGATACCGTAGACAAGGGAATTTTCTTCACTGAAACCTCTTTATATTATCAAAGAACCAATTCAATTAACTTTGTTGTGTTCCTTTTGTTTTTACAATTCTAAGTAACGAAAATTTCAGGAAGTGATTTCTCCCAGTTATTTGTAAGTATAACAACTATCTGATATAACTTGCCAATAATTTCCGAAATCCCCGTCGCCAATTGTTATAACTTGTTGTTTGAATGCTACTTGTTATTATCTTTATTTATTTAAACACATAAACGTTGGTACAAGGAGGCACCAAATACATATGCGTCACATAAATCATTCGATTTGTGTGAGGGCTGGGATACAGCACGGGTGTCCAGACCGAAGCAGGTGGTTTTCTTAGGGGGCCACACCCCGAGCATTGGATCTAAAGGTCTGATCCACAAGGTAGTGGAGCATCGTGAGGAGATGCAGTCCCATGGAAGCCGGTGACCGACGATTGGTTCGTACGCCATTTGTTCCCATAGGATACTGGAGCCCATGTGCACCATTGGTTTGGAATCCGGTTAAAGCGCCGGACGTTCGCTTTTCGTCCTCTCAATTTCGTGAACAACATCCCCGCCACGAGAAGGCAATGAGTAGGACTTCCCTGGCAGAGGCTGTATTCACGTGGTCGTGTGAGAGCACTTCGAGAGGGAGGGAGGGCCCACCCCACTCTCAGCCATATCAGGGCATTTGGTGGCATTTGTTATATCTAGTCGTTGCTGATTGCTGTATCGGAAACTCTTATCACTTAGACTCAAAACGAGGGACCTCTGCAATTCCCATAATGCGAAAGTAAGAACATAAAGACTGGTATAAGTGGATATTTATTAACCCCTAAAACGCAACAACAACGACATCGACCCTAGTCGGAAACACACTCATTTATATATTGATTCGTACACCCATTTTGATTAATAATCAGAATGTAATCACATATATGAAAAATACTCACAGCTATAACAAATCGCATATAGAGCATAGTTCATCTCTATTGAATACAAGAATATCGTATATTATACAGAATAATATATCATACGAGAAAACAAAACAAATACTACATTGAGTAATCAGTACATTGAATCAGAATGGAAGTAATCTTGAAAGAAACTCCATCTTATCACAATCTATACTAATAACAACTTACTTGGTAATCATCAAATATTTAACATAGGACTAAACAATATAATAAAACCGTTGTATACCGACTCAGTGGTTTGATGGTTAAGTGTTTTCTCAAGACCGAAGTTCGTGGGCTCAAGTTTTGCATGCGGGTTCGTGTATGTTCACTGCCGAAGAGTCCGATGATGGGACAAAATGGCCATCCAGTGCCTCCAACTTTTTAATAATGGTCCCAGGTCTACTGAAACCTCGCTCCAAACTACACATTGGAGCCTTCAACGTACGCACCCTATGTCAAATCGGTCAGCAGGCTTCCTTGAGTCTCTTTCCATTGATGTATGCTGTGTCTCCGAAACACGCATACAGGATTCCAGTGTGGTCATTCACTTGACCTCACCTCGGCAAACGGAGAGCCAACGAGATACACCCTTCGTGTATCTGGTGACCCGATGGCAAGTTCTCGTGGACTGGCAGGTGTAGGCATAGCACTAAGCATGAGGGCCGAACAAGCACTGCTAGAGTGGATCCCCGTCAACAGTCGTCTATGTGCTGTTCGGCTGAACGGCTACGTAAGAACTCGGAAGGATAGGGACACACGTCGTTGCCTTTTTGTCGTTTCTGCCTACGCTCCCACTGACTGCAGCTCAGATGAAGTGAAAGATGAATTTTACAGAAAGCTTCCGAACTTCTTCAGAAAGCTAAACGCTCAGACATAGTACTCGTAGCAGGTGATTTTAATGCTCAGATAGGCAGTTTAAACCAAACAGAAAGGCATTTAGGTGGATATTTTAGTATTCCGACACAGCGAACAGATAATGGTGATCGTCTGCTGCAGCTATGCTCAGACAATCGTTTATTTTTAGCAAACACAAATTTTAAGCATAAGGAGAGACATCGTCTAACATGGCGACCCCCTACACCAAACCAACGATGGACTCAAATAGACCATATTGCCATCAGTCATCGTTGGAGAGGGTCGGTAGAAGATTGTCGCTCATTCTGGAGTACCTGCTTGGACTCCGACCATGCCCTAATACGGGCACGCATCTGCTTGCGCCTCACTGGACGCAAAAAAGCCACATTAAAAAGACCCGTTAGAACTGAGTTGAGTAACGAGAAAACCAAAAGTAGGTTCCAGGAACAACTGAGGTCACACTTAGGTAG